CGGCATTTGGTTTGGGATGGATAGGCTGGGCATTACAAACACCGTGGATCTCCTTCCTGGCTCTGGCGATACCTCGACCCACAGGGAATTCCCGGAAATCGTTGTCCTCTCTTACTCACCTCCTGTACGGCGCACTCATTCCAACACTCGCAATGGTCAACTACCCGCAAGCGTTGCTGCTTGCGGCAGTCACAATAGCCTATTTAGCACCGTACCGGTGGATACGACTGGCGCTGCTTGCGCTGCATCCGGGACTGATAATGGGACTAAAGGAGGAATGGGAGACAGTCGGCAACCTAGCTTGGCCTGGTATCTTTGCGATCTGGGTTCCATTATGGTGTATTGCTGCAATGCTGTGATGCATGGTTCATAGTACAAGTGGCCGTTTGAGTTGCAGACTAGTGAGGTCTGGAGCGCAAGGGTAGTGGAACCGAGTCATCAGTAGTAAATTTGCTCGCTTCGCTCTTGTCCAGATGATAGCGAGACGCCAAAGAGGAGCGTGTAAAAAGGAACAGAGATAGGACTGGCCATCGAAGATGCAAAGGGACATGAGGGATGTTTGATAATGGTCGGGTATGAGTGAAACACGAGAGCAGTACAGGTGAGTGACTACGAGGCAATTGAAGAGGCCGAGGGCACGGAAGGAAGGAGGACAGGGCAAAGAGGGACCTTGTGGGATCGAGAACAAGTCCAAATTTCTGGATGTATCAGTACGGCAGAGTATGGTGGACAAACAGGCTTCATGAAGAAGAAATGGACGTAGGATGTGAAGCAGGGAAAGAGGAAATCAAAAGGCAACCAGCTCGAGGTCTTGCAAGCAAGCCACTCCGACTTTGCTCTTGCATCGTCCAGATTGGCTTAACCCCGACTACGCCGAAAAAGATCCTTCAACTCGTGAGAATTCGAATAAGAGCCGAGCTCGCTAGGGGTCAGGGTTCGAGGTGAAAATTTTCATTGGTCTGAACGGCACAATGGAAATCGACGACCAACAAGCTGAGAAACATAGCCATTGGGTACGCTTGCATAGACAAATACAACTAGCTCTTGTCAGCTGCTGCTAAGTAGAGAGAGATGAAGAAGCGAAAGAAGAGTTTCAGAAAATTTGTTTAAGGTAGCGTGGGTTTTTCAGCATAGACGGAAACCGTCCTCAAGCCAAATGCACTCTGGTCATCGTGAAAAAGGGAAGAAGGCCACTGCAAAGCAAGCCAAAATTTGATATCGCATGAGGGAAATGCATGCTCACCATTTCTACATACAATGATGTCGCTATGTCGAAAGATACCAGAACTGATAGAAGAAGAGTCGAGCGAACAAGACGTCGATCAGAAAGCCCGCCGCCGCCCACGGGTTGACCTTCACTCCCCGAAGAGAGATCCAATCAACAACCGCCAGCTTCTTCGATGGTTGTTCCCCAACAAGGAGGAACGACCAAAAGTCTCTGTGAAAGAGCGGGGCGGGGACTCGATCATCACCTCGACGTGGATAGTGTGGCTAGTGTAGACTAGCAAAAGTGAGATATATACTATACAGAAATCCTGCGAAGCATAATCACTAAGGAAGATGAATAGTCAGAATCGCAAAATATGTACCCAGCGAGCAGCGGGCGCGGCCGTGCCTGGCGGCTTTACGGCGATATAGAGTATCGGAGAATGGCGGTTTAACTAAATCCGATGTCCACGTTTGGAATGTTGTCTGGGTGCGGTACCTTTTCGACAACTGATGCATATATATACAACATGGGAATGACGGTGCGGGGTATATACATATAGGTGAAAGATGTTGTGTTTCTCGCTTCGAGGGTTGTGAGATCACCAATACCACTTCTCATATGCCCTACAACTAGTCAGTCGTTTGTATCCCGGCACAGACCCCACGCACCTTGGCACACCAGCGACCACGTCCTGTCCTCTCGCCAAAGACGTTTCATAGTCGTCACGGACTGTCATGAACAACGCCATGGTCGCTCGTGCATCTTCCACCTACACAGATCAGCGAAGAGAATGCAGAATAGCACTCACTGGACAGTGCTGTCCATACTGGATTTCCTTGTGGAGGACTTCCTTGCACAGCCTTTTCAGACTGGGATACTCGCCTTCACGAGTAACATTGAGTACAGCTCGAAGTGGATAGAACAACGACGTATCCCTGACATCTTCGTAAGGGTGACGGTGTTGAATAGCCTGTCAGATCAGCGAAAGTTGATGAAGGTGGTCAAGGAAGGCGACTCACGTTGAGATCATTGAAGACTGCATGACCAACAATGATCTTCCCGTTCAGTATAGCCTTGATCTTCGGTTGTATCTCCTCAAAAGTTGGTGCTGCACACTCAGCACTCTTCGGATCTGATCTTCACGCACCTCCGTCAAGATCCCCAGGCATGATTCCGCTCGCTTCCTTCATTAGCTCGTCCTTGAAGTGAGCTCACTGTCAGATCGCCAGTCCTTCACGTTTCTAGGGTTGACATAAACGAATGACTCTAAGAGGACAGCTCCTTGATGGTCTACCATTCCCACTCTGGCATATTAGCAAGTCCAAGCGGGTAGCGACGTTGGAAAGGCAGTGGGTTCGAGAAGGAACACTCACTTGGCGAGACCTGAGGCGGACTTGACTTGCACCATCTCACAGTCTGATAGTGTCAGCTAAAGACAAGGTCCTGGCACAGTAAGCTGACCTATAGCGACATACTGCTCTAGTGCTGGGAGCATGGAATCGGTCATTATTAAACACTGATTGAAAGCACTGAAGAGTGGAAAGAAGGAAAAAGTCAAAGCACAATCCGTGCCTGATCGAGACGCGCTGTCGTCAACAGTCGTGACGTCGAGGCCATCATGTTTTGTACAACCATCATTCAAAATGGCCAAAAGTGATGCCCCTGCATCGACTGGCACTCGCAAGTCTTCACGTGTGACCTCGAAGTCAGATTCGGCTGCGGTCGGGGAAAAGGTGAGTGGTCTCGAGGCTGCGATCGGTCGTCGTGGGCTCAGGGAAAGGGAGGAATGTGCTAGGGAGAGAAGCAGCGAGTATGTGGTACAAGGCAGTGACAGGCTCTCGGGCGAAAGGACGAGACCTGAAAGGCTTAACACATTAAGGAGCGTCTGCTCATAGGATGCAGCGCGGTGCAGAGGACAAACCGAAGTCCATACCAGCATCCAAGAAAAGCAAGGTCACGTCCAGCAAGGACAATGGGCCTGCATCCAAAAAGGCCAAAGTGTCCTCCAAGGCAGCCGATAAACCCGCCGAAGGTCCTGTATCGAAGAAGACTAAAGCTCCTTCCAAGTCCGCCGCAGAAGAAAAAGCTGCCGAGGCTCCAGCGTCGGCTCCTTCCTCGAAGGGTCTCAAGCTAGGCGACAAGTTGCCCAAAATCACTCTTCAGGACAACACCGGTTCTGATGTCGACGTGAGCACGCTGGCGGGGGAAAAGGGGGTGGTCATCTTCTTGTACCCCAAGGTATGTCTCCATGAGGCCTCGCTGACGATAGGCCGATACACCCGGATGTACCAATCAAGCTTGTGGGTTTAGGGATCATTTCGCAGAGATTCAGGAGCTGGGCTATGACGTCTGGGGACTAAGCAAAGACAAGCCAGCTGCTCAGCAGAGGGTGAGGTGTAGAACCTAGCATGTGCTGATGGGTAGTGGATTGATAAGAAAGAACTCAACTACAAACTACTGTGTGATCCCGACAGCAAGTTGATCAAAAAGTAAGTAACACCGGTCGGGTTGAGCTGACAGCAGGCTTGGCGCTTTTGTTCTACCAAACAAGTAGGTGAGGTACTTGCGCTAGCTAACAGCTCAGCACCAAACGGTCGCATTTCATCTTTGAGAAGGGTTCGGGAAAGCTGGTCGACGCGCAGCTTGGTGTCAAGCCGGTAGACGAGTGAGTATCCTACATGGCATTAGCTAATGGAAGCCCGGGTAACTGCTTGAAGTTCATCAAGCAGCATCACAAGTGAGGGGTGAGGTGGAGAATTATGTGAATCGCAGGTATCATTCTTGGTTAGATTATTCTAGTAGGCATGTCAGCCTTTCACTTGACGATGTGCCGTATGAACCGTCTATCGTCTATTCCATCCGCCTCGCTAGGCTTGCATCAGTACCGCTCTCATTCGCTCTCCTAGCTTTTCATCAGGACGAGACACATAATGCCCAGAATCGTGTGCCTAAGCTCGGCGCGGCGTCGCGGTCAACATTTTGACCCTTGTCAAAGTGGATTATATCTGCCATGTCGCAATACCTATAACATGTTCCAGTCAAGCGAATCATCTGTCAGTCGTAAAAGCAATACACACCCTCTTGAATAGCATAATCATTGGGAGGAGGGAGCTACCGCTTGAGCCGGAGCAGGAGAGCAGACTGATCGGAGAACAGAAGATGCGTTTGGCAAGCACTAATCGTCCGTTTTCATATGCATAACCGTAAGAAGACTCCTTTAACCCCTGGCATACCACATATTAATATTCACGACCTCATTATCCCTTTTCTGGTAGTGTGAGAACGGATTTAGTATACGATCAAGCTTAAAAAATCGTCAGTATCGGGCAGACTCATGAGTGGCAAATATTGCGAAGTCCGACTATGTCTGCTTGCCTCGCTTTTGACTTCATTCGACATCATATTTCTTGTCTTTACCGACTATTAGATTACCAAACAGCGTCTCATGACTGTGTATTGGCGCCGGGAGCTAGACGGCATTATCCCAATCGCAATGTTTTGGATCAGGCCCCCAAAAGCATCCATAGCTAACACCGCAGGCAGCTACCGCACCCTTAATCTCGCACTATCAGCTAACAAACGTACAGTTGTTGTTAGGCGATCATTCGAACTACCATGTCCCATACAACATACTGATGAGTACTGGCCCCGCAGAGATGGCGACAACCGTCGCTGCCGCCTCGGCGGCAGCGGCCTGGGAGCCTGGGCTGTCACATCGCTCATAGTGGGTCTACGGTATATAGTTGCAAGAAGAAGGTGTCTCCAACAACAAGCCTACAAGCTTGTATCCGGTTCCTTGGTGTAGTCGGTTTATCACGTGGACCTAATAATCACTACGGATTACTCAGTCTAAGGTCGGCGGTTCGAGCCCGCCAGGAATCATCTTTTTGCTTATATCTCCGATTTCAAGCGAAAGCTTACCGTCGGCTTGCGTATTCATCATTTTTGCATCTGTTCGTACTAAAGTATTCCACCGAGGCTTTGATATGACTTATCAGAGGTCATCTGTGCAAAGGTAGCGTTGCGGGGCAAAGAGCTGGAAGCAGAGGCGTGTCGAGAGTGCTGGGGCTTGTAAGGAAGACCGTGAAAAGTGAAAAAGTGGTTGATCTTCAACCATCTATTTGTCTGGAGACATGTACTGCGATGCATGGAGTGTATGATTGATATTCTGATCCATATAGTACAACAACACACTATGACTGAGATGGCAAATCCAACACACTAGCAACTACGACGACTCATCCACCATGCAAGGTGGAGATAAACACGACCTCATCACGATTCTGAAGCTCGTAATCAAGCTCTCCCTCCAGCTCCCAATCCGCATCATTGATCAACACGAGGATACCGGGACGACTGTTCCGTAAGCCTCATTACTCTGAAATGCGCTCAAGCTCCAGGGAGGCCGAAACACGGCCAACTCACACCGTATCTCCATCGATGAACATCTCCTCCCGCTCGCTGAGGATGTTTTCTTTCATCCATTGAATCAGGTATTTGACGTTGGTATGCTGTGAGGTGCTTGGTATTGTGCGAGGTATGTGGATGGTGTATTTTGGTTTTTGCGAGAACAGGAGGTGTAGTCCGCCGCTATGTGTGTTGTTAGCACTCTGCCTAATCACTCAGCCACGAATGACCACACCCCTAGGGTGACCGATGCGCTCAACCACCACCTGCACAACCACCCGCCTTCACTGACTCCTCTCTCATCGGCTTTCAACGACCAACGCCTCTCATTCCGACTTCTTGTCGGACATTTGATTAAGATAAGGCCAGGGACTTACCCAAACTCTATCCGTATCTCAAGCTGATCATCCTGTCGGATCGACGACGCCACTTGCTCAGGCGCATTCGAATGTGAATAACCCAAACCGCTCGTCGAAGGCATCTCTGTGGCAACGACTGACATTGTACGAAACACTGATAAAGCAATTATTCGTATCCACTAAATGCAAAAATGAACGTTTACATCTCGACTGCTCTGAAATTTTGCTTCCGTGCTTTGTGATCGGGCGACGCGTCCGTGAGCAAAAAGCACACTCCTGCCCCGTTGACAACGACATTTTTCATTGTATACCACCTCATTCGTGGTATCCCCCCCCTAATCTCTGCCCCCTTCTGATCGATATGGCCCATTTCGATCCAGAAGAGCTCAACGACTTGGCATTCTTTGCCAGTCGAGGTGGAATCGGTCGAGGCGTAGCGTGAGTCACCGGTATTGAGTTTCGTGCTAATCGGTGATAGGCTGTCGGACTGTGTTGCCGAAACACCTGATCAGCTCATGTACATACAAGGAGACGAGCTTGTACTGCTCCGAGATCTTGGAGAAGTATACATCGCTTCTTGTGAAGGTGTGGTTGGCTGGGTCAGACGAGATCACGTTCAATTGGCCAGTGGGAGTAACCGTGCTTCACTCGACCTGGATACACCATACGACCCTCAACTTCCAAAAACAGTCCTTACCGCTCCATCTCCACCACCGGCCATATCACATCTTCCCGAAATGCCATCGACAGACACGCTCGATGTGTCTCGCGACTCGAGGCGGATATCAGGGCCTTTTGAACTCGACTCCCCTCAACAGAGCCCGGCGGCCGAACATACGGCGTTTTTTTCATCTACGCAAGATACCAAGGCAGAAAATATCGCGAGCGATACCAATGGAGAGAGTATGGCGAGCGATGCCAACAGACAAAGCATGGCGAGCGATGCCAACAGACAAAGCATGGCGAGTGTCGCCAGTAGTGAGGCTCTCGGAGGAATCGGTGGTTTCATGATGGCAGAAAGTGAAGCAGGAGAGGAAGGAGTTGAAGAGCTCAGGGGTGAGTCAAATATTCTGGCGAAACTGACGATAGATGACATCTCCCCTGCAACACCTTCCGTCCAGACACCCTCTGTAACTCGTTCATCCACCTCATCACCACCCGACTCGAGCCTCACCTCGCACGAACCACAGACGAGTGAGGTCGAGCCCGATCCAGAAGATTGGGATATTTACGGCGACTACGCAAGGGAGAGCTTGTATTTCAAAAGTCCTCAGGAAGCTCGCTTCTCGGTAGGCGAAGGTGCGATACATGCCAAAGCTATTTTAGAATTGGCCCAGGTCCCTATCACGCCAAAAAATGCCAAGCCCGAGACCAGGATCGAGGCTTTCGGAGGGGGAAGTCTGGCTATTGAAGGAGGAAGTCTGGCTACTCAACTTAGGCTACGGATTCAGAGAGAAAGAGAGCGCGCAGAGGAAGATGAGACGGACGACATGCCCGCTGCAGAGTCATCAGTTCCAACCGAGGTGCCCCAATCGTCTCAGCTCGTCGAACAGGCCGAGTCTCCAGAGCCTGTCGCCCCGATCGAACATGACGAGCCCATCCATCTCGTGCATGAAGAAGAGCCCGTTCAACCCGAGTCTCCCGTCGAGTCGAGAATCGTCGTAGACTCGCCCGTGTCAGAAGAGCCTCAAGCCGTCTCGATCTCAGCAGAACCTGAAGCTGTCTCAGGACCCCCAGAGACCATCTCGGTCGAGGAAATCTCCTTTCAAACAGTGACCGAACCAATCACCCATATGGAGCCGCCCAATCAGGTCATATTCACTGCCCCGACCCCCGCAACGGAATCTTCCTTGCTCCTTGCATCTCCACTCCCACTTGATGACTCGTTCCTCGAGTCCCCGAACCTAGGTCCTCCAGGTGATTCGCCCAATCTCGTACCTCCTCATCGTTCACCATCGATGCCTCAGTGGTCTCCAGGGTCACCCGCGTCGCCACATAGTATCGCCGCGACTCGTCAAGCTGTCGAAGCTGCACGTACACCCGAAGGTCGACCACGAGGCATGACCCTGGTCGGTCGGATGGAGGCTGATTTGAGGGCGGCGAAGGGTCCAGTCCCTATCACATTTCTCATCGGCGGGCCTGGAGCTATTCCAAGTGCCCTTGACGTCGGACATGCTCACAAAACACTCAAAGAGCCCATTGGACTTGGTCTGCCGGGAAGGGGATCGTCAATGGACCGCCGAGCGATCAGTCCACTTTCGCCTGAACTGCCTGATGACTTGCGCGAGATTCGAAACTCCCCATCAAGATTCCCTATCCCTCCAAGACCGATCCGGTCATTCACTGCTGCGCCTCCTGAACCAGTCACGCCGGTTCCAGGGTTCCTCCCCAGACCCCGCTCGCGAAGCTTTGGCGCAGCTGTTGCCAAAACGCTCGGCAGAAAGACGCCCCCTCCACCACCCATCAATACTACTCCACCTCTTCCTACCATGCCTTCACCAGCGCCATCAAAGCGAAGTCTCTTTAAACGCAATGTCGATTCTCCACAATCACCCCAAATGCCCACACCCGTCTCCCAATCCGCATCTTCCACTTCACTTTCCCTGCCACCAGAGTCTGCACGTTCGACGAGCTTTTCTTTCCGCTCCTCGACGTCTGTCAAGACGCCGCGACAGGTCTCGCGCACACTGCCTCTACCGAGCCCCGTGAGTCACAAGGATTATGCCGAGGAGACTGTCAAAGCGGATGGAATGGATTTCGAGCTTGTTCAACCTAAAAAGTCGGCAGTGAGCCCGAATGGATCTGCATCAGGGGAAGATGCACGACCGCCCTTGGAACGAAAAAGCACGGTAGGGAGCGAATTGAGCACGAGCAGCTCGCGTCCGCTGCCAAAGACGGACGAATGGGGGTTCTTGAAGGATTCTAGTCCGGTTCCAGAGATATTTGGGGGTAGAGTCGGGGCCGGTAAAAATCGAGAGGGCGAGCAGAAATGGGTATGTTGCTTTTTCCACCCAGCGCTGACATAAGCTCTCGATCATTGCTACCCCCTTACGAGCCGGGACGGCTCCACCCAAAAAGGTACGCAAGCTTGTCCTCGATGCTGGAATCCCGGCCTCCCTGCGCGGTCGAGTTTGGGCGTGGTTCATGTCGGGACAAATGTCGGCTCGAGTTCCTGGGCTGTATCAGGAGCTCCTCGATCACGACAAAGGTCAAGCAGACGAGCAAATTGAACGCGACGTTCGAAGGTGGGCCGCTTGACTCTGAAGTGAGCTAACAGCAGTGGCTGGTCTGATCATTCCATCTTTTCCGAACCAACATCTCCTGGCCGACAGGACCTCCGTTCACTTCTCCGAGCATATAGCAATTTTGCCCCAGACGGCTACAGACCTGAAATGTCCCTCCTGGCGGGAACGCTGCTCATCCACTGTGTGGTCGAAGATGCGTTTTGGCTATTGAGTGGACTCATCAACGGCGTCTTGCGGGATTATTTCGCCAAAGATCAAAGTGGATTACGAGTTGATTCAGAGGTGTTTCGACGAGTCGTTGAAGGGAGTGAGAAAGATGTGGCGGCGCTATTTAGACAGGTTCAGATTCAACGTGAGTTTTTGGTGGTCATCTAGAGGCTGATATGTAGCCGGCATCTTTGTGGAGAAGTGGTACAAGACGCTGTTCATTAGGGTCCTACCTTGGCCAACAGCCTTAAGAGTGATCGATACTGTTGTTTCAGAAGGTGTGTCCTCCAAGCTCACCATAGCGTACTCAGACCTGATGTGATACCAGGACCCCGATTCCTCCTGATCACCGCCTTGACAATCTTGACAGTAAGCAAAGACCGCCTTCTCGCACTTCCCAAAACACGCCCCGACATCACGGCGTACCTCGACGATCTACCGCAAGATTCTCTGCTACTGCCCGAAACGTTCTTCCGTGCCGCCGACAAGGTCAGGTTCAAGGATGACGATTTGTCAAAGTTGAGGACAGGCGTCAAGAAGGATCTGGGGTTGGTTTGAGCGTTTCTATCCATCGCTTGGTTTTGGTGTTTCTGCGTATCGGCGGCACACACGAAATTCATTCTGCTCATAAAGTACTCGTATCATTCATCATCATTGCATATAG